GGGGGGGGAGCCGCGGCGGTGCCCGAGGCCGCGCTGCGATTGGGAAGCCGGCCCCTGTCTCGGGCGGGCTTGAGGGGAGCCCCCGGGAACGGAGAGGGCTGTGCTTCGGCTCGCCTTCGGTTGTCGGGAGACGCTGGGCGTTTTACACGGCCTGTGAAGGGGGAGGCCTTGTCGGTCGGCTCCGAGCTGGCCTGTGTGCTCTCACCTCCTCGCCTTCATCTTCCACCCCGTCCCCCCCCCTTTTATGTTCTGCTTTTCTAGTTCGTTACTGTTTTGGGTTTTGTCTGTGTTGTCTTAAGAAAATTACTTTTAAATGCAGGTAACATCCTGTTATTGGAAGCATATCTTCTCGGGGCATTTTAATGAGTAATGCCTGCAGGGGCACAGTTACTCTAACGAGTAGCTGTGAGGTGTCAGAGAGAGGAACAAATTCACTGCGCATGTTACAATTGCAATAAGGAAGCCAAGTGTACTGTTAGTAAACATTAGCACAGAATCGTATGAGATTTGTCAGGTAGTGTATTGGAAAGAGTCCAAGATGCTTGTTTAGAAAAGATATCACTGAATGGGCTACAGAGCTTACTACTTGTTAAAGCTTGAGTGCTATAAATGTATGTTAAGCTATGTCAGTGTACATCAGCTGAGGATTTAGCTCAAGGTCCAAAGGTCCACTTTTGTTTTGGAAAATAACAAAAAGCCTGCTTTCTTGAGGTAGCTCTGTGACTCATTGATGATGCCTTCCAAGGCATTGTAAACCAAGAGATAGATACTTGCTATAATTCTCCAAAGTATGTGTCTGTGCTTTTCCCTGGGAGGCAGAAAAAGTGAGGCTTGAGCTGCTACCGTGTTCTTCCCAGCTGATGTCGAACTTACTGTGCTTCATAAGCTCTAGCCTGGCCTGTTTTGCTTGATTACTTTTAATTTATATGGTGGCTGTAATTTCCTATAGATTAAATTCTTTTAAAACCAAACCTTAAAAAAAGGCACACTTCACATGCCTCTGATTCTACTAATGTATTGGCACAGCACTGCGTAAAATAAATTTCAGGCAGATCTGCCGTTCTCACCTGTCTGGGTTTTTCTTTTCTCCTATTTGGCCAGTAACTCACTCCGCTGTTTTTTCTGTGGGATAAACTTGGTGCAGGACACTGAACTCAGTTAGGACTCGACACCCCTCCTCTGCCAGGAAAGTGTTGTTTCCCTTGACCACATTCTTATTTGTACGACCTGTGGAAATTTTTTCATCTGTGCTATTAGGTATTTTAGTAAATCTCCTCATTTACATTAAAAACAAATAGAACTGAAAGTAAGGAAAAAAGAGAGTGCAAACTTAAAACTAGTAATCAGTGGGAAACATTCTGAAAGGAGGAAAACCATATGTAAGATAAAACATGATTTCCAGATTAGTTAATGCAGTTTTAGTAAGTCTAAACCTGCTTGTGTTGAAAGGAGAATGTCTGCCTGAACCTGCATTAAATGATTAAGGTAGCTTGCGTTCTGCTTGTATTAGCTAGGGCATTTAATTTTTTGTGTAACTGTCTGGTTCTGTTTCGAGTTCCAGTGAGCAAACATACAGATAAAAGATCTAATCCAAATGCGCATGTTGCAAACTGATCAATGACATGTGGAAGAACTTGCAGTAATGCCTGGCATGACGTGACTGCAGAGCTGATAGTAAACATCGCTACAGTCAGGGTCATCCCTGGAAGTCTGAAAAACTTTTCTGGCTAACTCATTTTAGACAATTTTAAAAACACTGTTCGAGATCTCTTATCCCAAAGTACCAGCTTAGGTTAGCAGAATGAGATTCCTTTTTCTCTTGTATTTGGAAGAAGCTGTAGCCAAACAGTTGTTTCACTGGGAGTTGTAACTTATGTTAATTTTTTTCTCTACCTGATTGTGGCTGTCTCTTGCACACGCAAGTTATGTTACTGTAAATTCTTGAAATGCCACTGTTTCAGTACTGATTGACAAGGAGCAATTTGCATAATGGTCTTTTCTTTAGAAGTTTTTATAGAATGTGAGTCTTGTTTTACCCATACTCAGTTCTGATATATTAAATTATGACGAACTAAATGTTCAAAGGGATTTGAAAGTATAAGTCTAGGCAGTCAGTTGAGACATCAGTGTAAAACTTCACACATGCTCAATCACCTGCTCTCTCTGCAAGCGTCTGCATTCTTTAGCTGATAGCACTGTTTCTCATGTCCAGGTCCCATGAACCCCAGATTTAACTACGGAGTAACCTAGTTCCTAAGTTGAGCAATGACACTGGCTGTTCTTTCATCTGCTCCCTGTTCTGGCAGGCAAATTACATGCAAAAGTACTTCAGACTTCCAAGGTCGCATCTCTTTGCTATCGTGTTATCTTTTCCTGCTAAATATTTGATTTGCAGAGGTACAGCACTTCTAAGCCTGTGGGAATATCCACGTAACACTGAATTTACTGTCAAAATAACGAAAGCAGCAACACAGCATGTGTATTTCAACAAAACTTTTTTTTTTTCCTGGGACTAGACAATTCAGTTTCTACTGAACTCCTTTCTTTGTTACAGAGGAAAAATATTAATTTGTAACTGTTCCTGGCATTATCAATAGTGTCTCTGAGTATGCTTTAATTTCAAGATTTAAGTTGTTTCTTGTTACATCTACCTTTCTGTGGTTTGCTGTGGGTTTGCCAATGTTGCTGTGAAGGAAGAAACTTAAAACTTGTATCTTAAAGAAACATAGAAACTTAGTTTGAGAGTCTTTGCTACCTAGATTTAACTTTGCATTCTATTCATGAAGGAGTGATTTTTAATTTTTTTTTTTGTAACCTTATTTGAATGCAGGGCTGACCACACCATCTTAGAAAAGTGATGAACAAAGATGATCACCCAAGAAGAAAACAATTTAATTCCAGTTGTGAAACTAATTGGACTCTTAATTTCCTTTCTAACTTTGCCTTCTTTCTCTCAATTTTTTAAGGTAGTCCTCAGACAGTTCATCAAGTTCACCTGAATCCAGGAAATTCTGACAGTAATACTTATCAGAGTATTCAGCAGATGAGAAATGCAATGGAAAAAGAGATTAGGAGTGAGAGAACAAGAGGAAATGGTAGAGAGTTAGCATTCACCCTCATGCCGTTGTATGCTCTTGGAGTGGGAGTGTTTGCAGCATACAAATTTCTTAAGGTAAGCCATAAGGAAAGCATTAAATTATTGAAATCGGAAGGAAATGTAACTGGTGTCCCCCCGCCAATTCTGAGCCCATGTGTATGGTTGTCCAAAAGCCATTTCTTGCTTGATTTGACTTTGAATGTGAGCTCCAAAGTTAAAATTAGAGCATATCTGATTCTTCCTTATGAAGGCTTCTGACTTATGTTTTTTTAGACACTTAAAGAAGTGAGAATCTTACCCCCCACCCCCCTCCGACCTCAGATAAGAATCTGAGAACCTAAACAGTGCTGTTACCTGAGGCTGTAACTTAAGCCTCATCGGTATTTCACTTCCTTTTCACTTTTCAGAATGAGATTGAGTATGGGAAGGAGATGGAGACTCCTGCAGAGTAATAGTCTTAGATTAGCAATTAGATAGAATAGCGAGTAGTCTTAGACCTTTTATTTGGACTTCTCATTTGGTCATGCAGCCGCAACATAGACTTTTATCTGTGAAATGTGATACCTTTTCTACCATTAGTAAATTAAGAAAGGAGAACACATGATCAGTGTGGGTTTTTTTTTGGTGTTTTTTGTTTTTTTTTTTAAATATCAGTCTTGACATGTGTTATTTATAGTAAGAGATATTACAGCACTTGCAATGCTGAGAGTGCATCTGGAACATTGTTGCTTACCTTCAGGGAAAAAAAACTTAAGCCTGAACAGGACCAGAGACAGCATCTTCATTTCCATAGTCAGTTTCATATCATCTCCTGTGTGAGAAGAATACAGCAGCTTAGCAAGATGAACATAGAGGCTGACCAATTTGGTTTTAAAAATAAATTTAATTAGGTTGTAAATAAGACTTAAACATCATAAAAACAATATTTTGGGTGTTACAACTCTTTACACTTGCGCTTTTGTTATATATTATAAAAATATACATATTTTTATAATAGCATCTTTATTGCTTTAAGAAAGAAGTTTTACCTCCTAGTTCATGGAAGGAGACTGGATCCAGTAACCTAGAAGGTTCCTTCTGTTCATTTTTGAAAACTGGAGTTGAAATAGCAACTGCATTCTTTCACGGCTTGTGTCAGTCATGTTGTCGTTGCTTAAAATCAGATGTGTTAGTTTAAGATAGGAAGAAGGCATGGCAGGAAAAAAGTTTCATTAATAGAGCACATTTTTGTGGTTGCTATTTACTTTCAGTAAATTTGTAAATGCATTTTTATTTTTAATATACAAATAGTGATGAAGTCTTTTAACATGATTGTATTTACTAAAGATGAAATCACATGAAGAAAGTCTCTCCAAAAAGGAAAAAAGTACAGAAGACAAGGCAAAGGAAACGGGTAAGATACCCATTCAGAATGCATATGTTCACTAGAAATGCATATTTGCTGCTGCAACAAAGCTACATATTTTAATTGATGCAGTCTATCTAAACAAGAACAATCTTTTAAGTTACTTAAGTGCAGTTAGGAACCTACAAAAACCAGTTTGTTATTCTATATATTTGAAACGCTTGTTAGAGGTTTGTTTGAAAACTCCAGATGGTAATATTCTTTAAAACAGTTACAGTAATATAGTATGATTCTCTGCCTTTTAATGTCTGACATTTTTCTCACTTAAGACCTGTTCAGTTTTCTTCAGTAGAATAGGATGTTTAAGTAGGATATAATAATCTTTAGAATTAATAGGGTATTTTTAAAAGATGTAATGATCTGCTTTAGAATTGAACTGTATTGATAGTGGAACAGTATGGATAAACAGTTACAGAGACTGGTGAATTTCTGGGGCCATAGAGACACG